GTCTTACACAAAGCGCTAAGTTTAACTTGGTCTTTGGAACCCTAGGGCACATACTCTTGATTAATAAACCCTCCATATGAAGAGGATGTCGATTCAAATTGGGAAGGTTATTAATCAAGAGTCTACATTAGTCATATCTCCCTAGGGTTTTGCTATACTAGGACCCTCTGCATTTCAACCTCTCAGGCAGATGGACCACCTTGGATTGCGTGGCGTCGGTGTTGCACGCCTTCAACCGTGTACATAATTGGACCAGCATCCCTGGACAAGACTTCAAAACATATTGTACTGTAAAATCACGCGCTGCATTTTATGTAAGTATATAATATATGTGTATGTATATATATATATATATGAATTGATCAAAACCTTGCCAAAACTGATCAACCCATAATAATACTTTTGACATTGGGGACACGAAGAACATCGAATAAATTTTGCCCACCACTCATGCTCCTCCCTTCTCAATGGCTAGGCCGCGGCCTTTCACAACTTTTCACGCCCCCCTCTGATGTCGCAGAGGTGAGGCGAGCAACGTTGCTGGTTTCGCGGCTTCGCGACCGCCAAATTGTTGTGGCGTTGCTGCGTGGCGACCGCGTTTTTCACGCTTCGCGCAGGCGTTTTCATGCCGCGCCGCAGAGGTTGACGGTGGCCAACATGTGGGTTGCCGGGTGAAAAAAAGTGGCAGATACGGAGGGATCAAAGGATAAAGTCACTGTTGGTCCGTTCTATGACAAAAGATCTTCAACAAATGGCATCCAAATTCCAAAGGATCCATGGTGGCGCATTCCTCTGGCCTACATGACATGGTGGTTTTGGGTGGTGAATCTTGGCGCATTCCTCTGGCCGTCCCATGCATCGATCTGCATGGGAATGACGGGTGTGTTTGTCATTGAGAAGTTCATGGGATTGAGTGATCCCTGAGTTCCAACCTTCACCCATCTTCACATATCTTCACCCCTTCGAGTAAAAGAGCAAAACCATGCAAAACCCGGTTTCCGGGCGACATGTATGACCCTTTTCGGTAGAAGTGGAACATAGTGGAACCCATGGAGATCCCCTTTCACGCTCCATGTATGACCGAATGTGACCGAGGTTCACCACCCCAACCAATGACATGGGTCCATGGGTCGGCCGACAGCGGCTTTCATGCCGCTCAGGAGGGACTGAGTATGTCGGAATATATCGGATACAATATAGAACATATTGGACAATTGTAGGAACCACCAGTGGAACCACCCCATGTCACCTCTAAACACCACCATTGGGGTATGTATTATGTAAAGGTTTCCTGGTTCGTGTCTAGAAACAAAAACACCCACCAAATGGCCAGCTCCATACCCAATGCCTTGGGCCAGCTCCCACGGCCGACGGCACGTCCGATCCTGAGGCCCGCTGCCCGAGTTGGACACCTGTGACTTGGGAGGACGAAGGGGGCTCCGAAAGGCATGTTCCGCCACTGGGGGGGAACCACCGCAGGGTGGCATACCTACGGATCTTCCATGGATTTTGAGGGGAAGTGTTGGAGGAATTCTCCAAAAATGGTGCTGTTTGCAGGTGACAAGGGAGCTGAAAAGGCCGTCAACATGGCCCATGCAGGAGTAGTCACCCGAACTCGGAAAGGTCCTCCCGTCCCACCGACCGCTGGCGTGTTGGGCGGCGCGCCTTCACATCGATGAAAGCTGTGCCACTTTAAACTAACATGTTAATTCTTGTTACTACTAGTAAGGCACTTGTTACTAGAAGCGATGCACTTGTTCCTAGTAGCTTCTTGTTGCATAGAACCTGAGAATTGACCCGTGGAAGACGATTTTCCTCTACAAACCCAGTAGTTTGGGCCAGTTTGGGGGTTCCTTGACTCCATCTGCAGGGGAGTAGATCAAAGAGTTCGGGACAGACCTGGTTTTCGTTGACCACCCCGCTGACCATGTACTTTCCATCGAATATCGACCCTTTTTGCAACGGCGACTACAAAAATCAGTGGTGGCCAACTGGAGGCGTCCATAGGGTTCCGCATTGAATTTCTGGTGGTGATCTTCTGTGCCAGGCTGTTACTAGTCGAATCAAGGGTCATTGTATGGGGAACTTACTAAACACCTCCCAAAACATGGTGGTGCTCGCTCTGGAATACCGGTTTTTGGCGACCAAGAGCTCCAGATGAATCCCTAAGCAGACTAGGAAGGACATGTTCTCACATGATGGACAGCGTTCAAGGACAGGTTTCTGATCCACTTTGTTTTGCTTCCTTCACTGAGCAGTGATCATTCTTGCATCAGGTGAATGCAGGACAATCAGTGTTCATTTTTTTTCTTCAGGCCCTTCTTCTTCACCCTTCTTCATCTATATATGATGTTTGACAATCTCAACTGGATCCAGCTGCTTCGCCCATGTTTCCTCTCCACCCACAGTGGATGCACCCTTCCAGTGAGATGAGGCTAACTTCACCATGTGTGCTTTGGAATGATGATGCAAAAGGACGTATATCAACAGTGTCAAATCTTATTCCCAAAATGTTCCATGTATGGAACATTTATACATTGACCCCTTTTCAACCAACCCAATGTTGGCAAATCCGCCAGCCATGCCATGCTGGGACCGAATCCTCATTCACCTGGAGAATCTCGATTTCGAAGCCCACCGGACCGACCAGCCAAAATCCCTGGTGCCCATGAACCCTACCGGACCGACGGAGGACGGATCCCGACCTATTGACTCAAAATAGGGCCTGATGGATTCCTATACTCACTACGTTCACTCTCCCTTGCTTTACGGTGGACATGTACCTGAAAAATGGAGGGGACTTCGTAGTCCATCGGGGACTCTCCCACCGCACCTGGCCCCGTCGCCTCCATTCTTCGAGCAAACTGAGTCAGTGAGGCATGTACCAGACGGCCTGTGTGAACCAGTCCGTGGACTCCGACGGCTTTTGTGACCCCGGCAGCAGCGTGGAGCGCCGCAGCGGACGGGGACATCGAGGATCGGGACTGGTGTTGAGAGATGCGGCATGTTTGGAGGGTGAAAGACTTATGGGAGAAACATGGCAAACAAATGCAAACGAAAGATAAAGCAACCAGCAACAGACAAATGCTAGTAAGCTTGGGTCAGCACCACCCATGTCGGGGTGTCTATTGGTTAGAAAATATATACTTCGTAGTCAGTGTTTCTATTTTTGTCAACCTGAACTGAGTGGTGCTGGTGGTGGGGCTCATGAGCAGCATCCGAAGCTGGGGACTGCCCCTGAAAAAACGCCCCTGCTTGACCCACCTGTTCATGTGGAAGAATGTGGAGACATGGTTTCCTATAAAAGTGGATTGAGAATGACAACCACGCAGAAAGGCATCAACGTTTTGCATTTGACCTCTCATTTCTGTACGCACTTAGTTTGGTACTCGCTGCCAGTCCCTGCCAAAGGATTCAAGCTGGTGAAAGTGCCACATGGTCCATCAATAGCAACAGCATGAAACAGCCCACTCACTGACACGCCCACGTGGGGAAGCTGAATCAAACACATTCACCTTTGCAAGGTGATGGGAATTCAGAAGGAGGTATGAGGTATCTCAATGCTTTCGAGGATGTAAAAACTTCAGCTTCATTCCCCAAAACGCCGGAGAAAGCATATGTGTTTAATTCTATTTGTAAAGACTCCAAGAGACAACTTCCACAGTGAGTTGGAGTGGGGTCGCTTGGGACAAAGTTATTATGACAGCGTCATGTGTTGCCCCTGTGAATTCGTGGGACAGTGCACGGTTTCCAGGGCCGCCGCAGGCCGCCTCTCTCTATTTATAGCCCCTTTTGTGTAGACTTTTACTTATAGTAACGCCTGCCCATTTGGATTGAAGAAGCCTCAAGTCCGTGTTAATCAAGAGTCTATATAAAAAAGAGATGCTTCGGCGCTTCGGGGTGTCCACCACCCAACTCACCTGATTTCCCAACCGGGTGGCTCCGAATGAGCTGATCATGCTGCGGTGCAGATGGTCAGATGGTGCTGATCCTCCCTCCAAATTGGTTTGCCTATGTTTGCCTTGTTTCACCACCCACTTGTGACTGACTGAACATCGACAGAAGAACAGAGATGACAAAAACACCAAGAACGCCTGCACCTGCTTGACGATGTGATGCTGGCAAATCCCCACACTCTATAGGGCTGTCAGGATCGGACATGCTGTTCATTTGGGGAAGGTCTAACACATCTTATACCTGGACCCTCCGACCTTCGGGATGTCCTGGCGCTTCACTACCCCACACTACCTATACTATAGGCTTCCAGACAGGGCACCCCACGGTGGAGGGTCCTGGTATGTACCTTCCGGTGATGCACCTTCGCCCTGGCGCCGTTGCCAAACCACCGCATCATGTCGGATCGAGTCGAAATCGCTCAGATCCGAACCACCTCGCTCATGCCGTTGGTGTTCTCTCCGCGGTTCTCTCCGTGAATTGGTCAGAAGCCTCAAAAGAAGGCATGATGGTGTGTGAAATGAAAGAATGATTGCATAAGGAAGGGACAAGCTATGAGAAGGAAGCTGCTCCTTTGAAGAGACATGCTGCAAAGATTCCGACTGATCACGTTCTGCATGAGGTGCTGCTGTGGTAGATGCTGCGAGACCAAGTCAAATTGAACTTAGGCACTGAACAGCCAAGATATTTAGAGAATTTGCAGATTCACATCTGACAAAGGCAGTGGTTTGTATACTTGGGCCTTAGCAACTCCGACTTGCTCAAACCACGGACCTTGCTTCCTTGTCTCAGACCCCCAAACCATGGGTCCTCGCCCTTGCAAACAAAAGCAAGAAAAAACACACTGTAAAAAGACACAGCAACAAACCGACCCTCCGCGAGATTCCTCGACCCTCTTTGGGGTCACTTGGACTCTCGCTCCCATGTGCTTCGTCCGATGCCGGTGACCTTGGGCAACCGCTTCGACGACGAAGATGCCGAGACCACCGCCCTCGCGTGGCCCGGTGCCGCGCGGGCCTTGCGACGGAATGCCACCATCCTCAAAGCAGCGGCTTGGTGTGGAATGTAGATGGCTGTTTTCATACGGCCTTGCTTGGTTCAATGGGAACAAGGGCATTAGGCCATTTGAGTGACTTGGAGTGGTCTCAGCTGTTGTAGGCCCTTTTGATATCCATTTATGATGTTTTTTTGTTTTCAAAACGAACCCTTCGGGGTATGTCTTCTTGAGGAATGTAGAGCGACGGTCAGCCACCAAGGTCGCTCCGAAATGTGTCGGTTGACCCATCGTCATAAAGCGTCGAAAACATGTTTGGTTAACCAGGGGGAGACCCTGTTGAAAGACCCACTGCTATGTAAGTTCAAAGACCCACTGCTATGTAAGTTCTTAAAAGACCCACTGCTATGTAAGTTCAAAGACCCACTGCTATGTAAGTTCGTGGAAGACCCGCTGCTATGTAAGTTCGTGGAAGTGCGTTCTGAAACAGTCTAAGTTCCAGGTTCCTCACCAGGAGTCACTAGGAGTCAGGACGAGACACACACCACTGTGGTGACCTCTTGGATCGGGCCTGCTGGCCGGCTGAGAAGCGACAAGTCACAAGCTAAGCCGAGTCACCTGTTTTCAACACGACATGTCCGGGTTCCTCTTTGATAACACGAAGCAGGTGGCGAAGTCACAGTCATCAAGGATCGTTGAAGTAGTTCCCTGGCCTGCTAGAGAAAGAACTGCAAGAGTAGGGACTTGCTTGTACTGGACTCTTCCCCTTTTCATCCCTTTTCCATTCCCAGACACGACTCATGGGACTGCCATATGCTTACATTGACCCCCCAAAACCACCCCTATTATATATGGCATACATGGAGTGTTTGGGATTTGTGCTTCACTGATTCAAGGCTTTGCCATGCTTTGGCTCAGGAAGTAGATTTATTCCTCAACCCTCCTTGCAGCAAATGGACAAGCTCACCTCATCCCACTATAACCTGTGGATGTTTGCGTTTGTTCTTTCGCCGCATGAGATATGACCTCACGTCTTTGGAGTTCCAGGTGGTCCTGGTGGCCTTCGTGTGCTTATCCATCGTGCTTTGTACCGCTGGGATCTACTTGCGCAGCTGGGAGCTGGAGTTTAAGATCCAGGAGCTCAAGGACGCTCCAGGTATCGATCCGACCACGATCCGTGCGTCAGCAGACGCTGCGCGGCGAACTCTTTCGTGAACGGTCCATCGACAGCCTACTGTAGTTCACCACAGGCTTACAAAGACCCATGTCATCAGCTAACATGTCAGTGTTTTCTTCCTGTACGATTTCTCCGTCCCATTTGATGGATTGTTAGAATGTTGTCATGGCAACTGGCCGCCAGTGTCCGGCTTTCAGCAGTTGGTTTCATCAAGTCAGTTGGCAGGATTACATCCTCATCTCTAACCAGCCGGACATTCTATGCGCAGGCAGGAAGTGACCCAAACCAGCTTGGCTTCTTCGCTTCCTCGCGAAAAACCCGTGCGAGACCGATGGAGTGCCGGATGTCCGTGACCGAACCATCCAGAGCTGAAGTGACCTAGTGACCTCAAGGTCAGGGGATCAAGTGCAAACTGGACATGGAGATATGGAAAACAACATCCAGATCAAGTTTGTTGATGAACTGTTTGAGAGATTACTGACCGCTTTTGGTTTGTTGAATCCACCAAAGTCTATTATTTTTGTTTGGGGGGGAGGGTGTGTTTGAACCGGGTGTCTTTGGGGGTCAGTTCAGCAAAGCAATTGGTTACGCCCTGCTGAAACCGGGTTTACCATGTACAGGCAGTACACCTGGACACTGAGGAGGGCAGCTGTAAGGCGAATAGGATGTGGCTCTTTACAGGCCAACGGCATCAGCGCATTTTGTAAGTGCCTATGTCATCGGCCATCCCTGAGTCACTCGTTCACCCAAGCCATCTGCAGTGCTTTGCAGGGCTACTGGCTTTGCAACCGGCCTATAGGATAAAACCGGGTGGGAAAACTGGTGGTCCCTCTGAAACGCGTGATGCAGATTCTCCACCTTTTCAGGTTGGGCCTGGCTGATCAGGAAGAATTGAGCTTCCCCGCAGAACCAGAGAACGGTTTTGCTGGGCCCAGAGACAGCTATCCGCCGGGTCCACGCCGTGCTTTTTGTTGCGCCGGCAGTTCGAGGCAGCGTCGGTTGCACTGTAAGAGCGACATGAAGCGGCATTCTCTCTAGCATTCTCTAGCAACAGCTCGAGTTCGGGCCTTGGCGTCCCAGTCCTGCTGTTCTGATGGTTTCCTGGTCCTATTCTGATGGTGTCCGATGTAGTTCCGGAACGTAGTTGTAGTTTCCATCAGAGCTTGTTGCGCCAACAAATCTATAGGTGCATTTCGCAGTGGCCCACCGATAAATGGATCTTCCCGTGTTGGGGATGCCATCATTTCCCAGTTGCTGCACGAGATCGTCCACTCGCAATGTTTACATAGTTTACATTGTAGGCTGGCTGAGTCAGAATCACACATTAGTTTGGATCCAAACTTGGAATCTCAGCATGCCATGCGGCTTCATCTCTGTTTCCCCAAACAACCACCGACTTTGTGGAAATCTCCCATAGCAAACGGCCAGGTGGGCAAACAAATGAAACTGCTGATCCTGCCATGATACACGGCCTGGCCCTCACCAACTGATATGTTCCGTTTTGGATTTGTACCATGCAGCTCTAGAACTCTAGCCTAGGACTTTCAAAACTTACATATAGATCTTAGACTTCCGCTCTACACCTCTAGATCTCTCAAGACATTCTGGTCCTCTAGACAGATTTCAAATCCTCTTAGACATCTAGGCGTCTAAAGCTCTCAAGACTTCTGGACGTCTACTAGATGTCCAGACTTTGAGTGGACCTTGAACAAGCAGCTCTGCACCTCTGTCCCTCTAGAGCTCACAAGACTTCTACTCTAGACCTCGACTTCCGGTACTCTTTCGACCTCTTGAACTCTAAACCGGCTTCAACCGGCTTCTGGAACTTTAGACCTCTAGAATCCTCTAGATCTTCTGAACCTCTCAAGGCCTCTAAAGCTCTCTAGAATCCGCTCTACACCTCTAGATCTCTAGACCATGTGGATCTTTTCGGATCTCAAGACCCTTGAGTCTCTGCCTGGGTCTGAAGTGGTCGCGGTGCAGCACTCAGGAGCTTGAAGTGCAGACACAGCACAAACTTCTAGACCATTCAAACTCTATAGATAGGCGGTTGCTAGGCTTCTAGACTGTTACTTGAAGGCTTCTACACTAGGCCTGTAGAGCTTGCAACACTTCTGGATCTCTATGCCTTATCGTATGGGCCTCCAGAGCCTTTGTTTTTAACATGCGCTCTCAATATGGTGTGCTCTCCTAGGTGCTCTCACATGTGTGCTATCACGATGAATCTTTAGCTCACGGTTTCACACAAAAAACAAACTCCATCACGCAGAAATATAAAAAAAACGCTGCTTCTCCGATTTCCAAACACATACACAACTGATTGGGGTTTCTTGCAGGGATATTTTGTGAGTGGAAGTTAGGGAAGTGATGTGGAAATTCATCTGAACAGTCAGGGAAAGTACATGTCACGAGTTTCATATCCCAGAAGGTATCTCGCTACGTCGACATGCGTAGACATACGTCGAAGATGCGTAGCTGCCCTCCAAGTGCCTGATGCTAAGAAACCCACCCGGTGGCCTACGACGCATGATTTTCCTTTGTCCCGTCTCTTTGGCAGGGACAACGGATCAAGAGTGGTCGTTTGGGCCCATTGAGAAGTGACATGTCGTCGAGACGATGGTGGGTGTGCGGATGGTGGGTGTGCCAAGGTTTTGTTTGAAATGAGGGCAGGTTCAAGTATTGGTTTCAATCCTAGAGGTCCGCCAAGGACTCCCAGGTATCTTTGAATGGAACAGGATTTTTTGGGGGGTCGTCCAAGCATCCAGGTGGTCATTGTGGAGTTTGGATGGGTTTATGAGATCTCTCATGAGGTGATTGTTGATTTGGGTGTTCTTTGTACTGTAATGCGGTTAGGCTGGGAAGCTATCAATGTCAATTTTCTTTCAGTTGGGGGGTGCGCACCTAAACAACCAGTCGCCAACCACAAGTGTTCAAGTGTTGACTTACTCTAACATAGTGCATGTCGAACACTTGAAGATGACCTAAACACTCCATGTGTGGTATATCTGCGAAGGAATCCAAGAACACCTTCAACTTGTCACATAGTACAACTGGACCCTCACTTGGCCTTCATCAAAGTGTCTCCTTGTTCACCCTCAAAAGAGCGAAAGGGATATATATATATATCTTATATCAGATTAATATCAGGCTATGTATGTACTTTGTTTATCTTAATCACATCACATCAATTGAGAATGGCTAGCGAGACTGACCATGGAGGATCCCTTTGGGTCAACAAAAGTAGAAGACCCCCCTTTGTGGGGAGGGTTATGTTGCAATCAAGTTAGAAACCTGGAGTCTCAGTTTGTACCTCGCACAATGGGTACAGGGACGATGTGCTGTTTTCGGTACAGAAAGTCGGGTCCAGGTACTGTTCTTTTCCAAACAAACATCCACGGAGCTGGGTCTAACCTGAAGTGCTTGGTCTTGCCTCAGGTTCCGCGGCTGTGAAGCGCGGCAGCGCGAAGACTTCACGCGCTCGGATAAGGCGAGGTCGGTGCTGAGAAGAGTTAAGGATCTCGACCCCCAAACAGTTGAAAACATGTAAGCAGGGTTTAGGGCTGAAAGTGTCCCTGGCTCTGGAGGGCTTAACCCCTTGGCAATAGAGGGTCCGAGGTTTCTTAGGGCGGAAAGTTTTGTAGAGTGTGAGAGAAGGAGCGTTTTCGGTCGCGGTGATGAACTCGATCGTCTTTGCCCCTAGGGATCCGTATAAATCATCATCAATGTATGGAAGATTTGCCTACATTGGATCACTGGGATGATTTTAAGACGTTTTGACGGTCAATATAGTTAAATAGTTCGCTCAGTCCCATGGATGATTGTCGGGAAATACATTGATGACTGTGACGCACATCTGTCAGGAAATCTACGAGCAGTGCATCTCGACCCACGCCTACGACCGCGAAAAGTACTGCCAGCGCGGCAAGGACGACAGCCAGTCAGCGCAGGTCCAAAATGCTCCGTGTACAGAAGATACCTGGAGTCTCAGAGTACCTTCATACCTTACAAAATTTGTACCAGTGCTTGTTTTACAGGGTCATGCCACATTTTCTAGAGTACATTTGGAAGTTCAAGGTAAATACATTAACCATCATTGACCCCTTTTCGACTACCCCAAGTGATCGGCACATATGCAAGACAAGCAGCATCTTGGGGCCTCCTTTTGTTCCAACCAATCAGTTCCAACCTCTTCTTTCAGTCAGAGATTTCGATCAACAAAGACCTCCAGATCCAAACCCTTGTAACTGTTCCATCCGGGTCTGATCGCCTTCAACGACGACGAGTGCGTGCAGTTCGGCGCCGGGCCCGGAGACGAAGGCACCACGCCAGTCGCATCCGGTTGCTGTGCTTTAACTCACCCAGACGCTCAATGGACCCTATAGGTATAGAGGCCGTACCCGCATCCTCTGGAGGGGTCCAGGACCCGGACCGAAGGAGCGATCGGTGTGTTTTCCTCAACACGGTCCGATCGAACGCGAACGGGACCAGTCCAGGAGGTGCGGATCTTGGTCTTCAACGTTGCTCGGTCCTTTTTGGCAGGCGAATACGTTTTGGGGGTGCAAGGTAAGAGTGACCAGGTTGGTGGAACCTGTTTTTTAGATAGACTGCCTCAATTCATATGTGTAACATGTGTATACCTGCTTTCTGCAGACGGGAAAAGAGATGATTCTACGGATCATCATTGCTGGTGTTTCTAGGGCTGTAGGCACGATAGGCATTCCAAGGTTTGCTTTTCCAATCTGGCAGAGTGGAGTTGTGTTTTGCTTGCATCTAAAGGATGCGCTCACTCTTTGGACGTGTCCTTTGGGCTCTCGAAGAATGCACAGGAAAATCAGAGTTGGCAAGCAATCCTCCTCCATGGCTGAAAAAGGTCACTTTGTCTAGGCTCTGCCTGAGCTGCCTCAGACCTTCCATGAATTTGTGAAGGAGGCATCTCCTCATGCCCTTAAGCCTATTTGTGCTACTTTACTCTCCAACATATCTTGAACACCTCTGAGCTGCTAAACGGCTGAAAGGCCTATAGGCCTGCGCCTGCAAATAGAGGCGTGGAGCTCTTTCAAAGAATTAAAGACACAAAGATTGCAAAGACATGATGAAAGCAATTGAAATGATGAGTTCCGACATGTTCTAACCAGGAAACATACACCGGTGTGGTTGTTCAGTTCATGGATTTCCGGGTTCGATACTGAAGCTCCAATGTGGCAGGACTACCACCCCGAATGTGCTAATCTGTATTAAGTGCATGTGGGCCATTGGTGAGACGATCCTTGGCGACCATGGACCAAACAGAACATGCACATACTTGACTACGAGTGATCCCCACCCCGAGCTGTGATTTGGAAGAAAAGGCAGGGCATATGATGTTGACAGACAAGGCTGACAAACGCGGCTTGACATGTGGATTGAAACAATGTTCTGACGCTTGTTCTGCCATCAAGTCTGGTATGTGCTTGGACACATCATCGATCATCAAGGCTGGGACATGTTCTGGACTGTGTTCTGACGTTCTTGTTGGCATGAGTTCTGACATTTTTACTGCCGTGAAGTCTGACATGTGCTGTGACATATGGTCCAACTTCCTCCTGATATGTGTTCTGTCACGTGTTTTACCATCAAACTGACATATATTCTGACATTCTATTTGTCGTAGGTGCTTGCATTCTTTTCGCAAAAATTCAGGCATTCTTTAGTAGCATATCGCATAAACGCTGGTATTCTGTTTGGCATCTTTAGAACGTCAGATGAGCCACGTTTTTTTTGCAAATGATTAGGTTTATACAAAAAGGGAACTGTTGAGAAGTCGCGGAGGCTGTTCTGCTTGGGGCGTAGGCGTCGTGTAAGCATTTTGCGTAGGTGGGTGTTGAAAGATTTGCGTAGGCAGTCTTGCGTAGGCACCCTTTTCATGAAAGCCTGAATTTTCTTATTCAGACTTCTTTAAAAGTTGTTCAAGGGTCTTGGGGAAAGATAATGTTGGCTTGTAGTTGTTTAACTTGACACTTGCTTGCAAATTCCAGTGGGGAAGGAAAATGAAAATGAATTGTAACGACATGGCTACAGTGGATGTTTGAAGTTTGTTTGTCGAAGCTATGGGGGCACATTGGTTTTTGAGGTCAAAAGCTTGATCGTGCTTGGTCTGGCACACCGGCTCTTGAGCTACAACTGTGCGCACCCTGTTGGAACCATAATCAATGGACCTATTTTCGCGTAGGCCCCGCGTAGGCGCTCGCGGAAGCAGCGCGTAGGCAAGAAGCTATTGGCTGCTGCTACTGCTTGGCTGCTGCTTTGGCTGCTGCTTTTGCTGCTGCTTGGCTGCTGCTGCTGCTGCTGCTGCCTCTTGTTTTCTGCTTGTTGTGCGCTGTTTATGTGCTGCTGCTTCCACACTGTAATTGGATCGGCTTGATACAAAATCTATCTGGCCATCGGTAGCAAAGCTGTAAACGCCTTGTAAACAGGAACCTGATGTGACCCGGTCGCATCGGGCCACTACTTGCGGATTATATAGCTCTTTTCGAGTCACCTGATGTGACTAAAGTTGGTGACAGTACCCTGCGTAGGCATCCCGCGTAGGCACCTAACAAAGAGAACCTCTCGCGTAGGCATTTGCTTGAGAGGGGAGCCCAGGCGTAGGCACCCGCGTAGGTACAGACCCAGTGTATAAGCCCCACACCACAAAAAAAACACAACTCAGATATGCCCCTTACAACACATGTACATTCAATGCTTTGTTTGAATTTGTTTGATTTTTTAGAAAACAACTTTATACCTTCACTCTCTGAAACAAAACATTTTTCTATGCGCTAGTCAACCAGGCCCCAACCCCCAGAGATCTTGCGTGACGTCTCACTCTCGCCCGGGAACTCCACCTGAGGTGACCAATCCGGCCGACGTGGTGGAGGGGCTGACGCCCCGCATCCGTGAGGCCGACGAGTCCCGTTGAGCTGGCCGTGGCGACAGGGGGCAAGCAGCGAGCCAAAATCGCTTAAGCTTCCGAGGGTGCACATGGGCTGTGACGGGTTTTATCAGTTCATGTCAGACACTCCATGTAATACAAGATGATGGATGCTACATTTGGCTGGTGGATCCGGGTTCCACAGAACGCTGGCGGGTCCATCGCGCCTCAAATGGGGCCGAAACGAACACCTTCCTTTGAGGCGGAGTGGCGTTGGAAACCTCATCGGTGGGTACCGGAAGGGTATCCATCCATAGTAATGACATCATCAAAGATTTGGCTGTTTGATGGTCTGGTGGTGTTGCCATCATAGTGCCTGCTGGTTTGTAGTTGTGATGAACACAAACATGTTGAGATTCTACCATCTCTTGTATTGTTGTTGCAAAATATACCTGACATCGTGACGATTGTGTCGTTTTTGTCAATACCTATACTGCAGCTCACCGCACAAAGGTTTTACTTCCCTCCACCAGTGCTTTTGATCCAAAGGCCACACTATACTGTCACATTCCTAGGTGGTGACCGGTGACCTCAACAAAGTTGATGTTACTGAACCTAGTGACAGAGACAATGTCCTTGTCACGTCCCAACTTAAGATGTAACCCTCGGAATCCAGCGGAGCTTCTCAGGTTCGGTACGACTGGACCCGAACATGGCACCCGACCCTGTCTCAGTGTCTCCGTCCTCACCGTATTCGGTTCGGTACGAAAACGGATCCCAACGTAAGGAGGGCTGCAGCCTCCGGTGCCGCGTCACGTCGTACGGCACCAGGTGGGTCGTGTGGGCGGTGGTCCCCTGGTCTTCTACGAGGATTGCCGGACCTTCGACACTGAGTTCCGTCACTGGGCGATCTCAGATGGGGAGAAGGGGGTGGGGAGGAGGTTCTGGAGGTCTGAAACGACACTCGCGCATTGGAGGATCCTACTGGAGACCCAGACCATCCATGTGACTGGCCTCATTGGGGTGGTTTAAAAGGCGTCAATGTAGGTAGATCGAGTCAAAAGATGCCGTTCAATCCTGTGAGTCGTTTGTTTGTTTCGACTTCGACAGGAGACAGCTGAGATACTGTACCCTTTGACTCGTTTAACATGGAAGTGGAAAACTACCTGTTTGTAGAGGATCATCGTCATTCCACGGACCGTATTTCACTTCCATGTTGGTGAGCCGCCTAATTCATTCAAATTCATTCAAGATCATGAACCTTAAGGTGGCAGCCAACATGGATCCAAGTTGCGGACTTATTGTTTGAGATAACAAGTATGGTCCATTGACAGATCGGGAGGTTGACCTATGGGTCGAAGGATGTAGGTCCCATGGAGTCATGGGAGTATCCGACAGGGAGTGTCATGGACTTCGGCTGACACCGAGCTGCTTTTCGATAGAGGGACAGTGCTTCATGAAAAGCAGTGCTTCCTCATTCTTAAATACTTGGAGATGGTGACCGTTGATAGGGTGGATAGGTGGATATGTTCTGCAGGATAGGTCAGCTTCAGAAGGATTTGTGATGTATTGTAGTTGATCAACGCAGATCTACTTAGGGACCACTGGATAGATGTGGATCCCATGTTGTGAAGAAGCAGGCAGGAATGAAACCAAGTTTGGATGTAAACAGAGTCCAAGAACTGGGCCGAATCGATCAGCAAAACACCCCTTGCCCCCCCACTGGGCCATTCGCATGAGACATGGGTGCTTGATGGTGCATGGGTGTTCTGAAAAGAAAAGAACATACCAGGACCATCCTGTCTGGGTGTCCTGGTTAGACTACCCTACCCCATAGGCACAGGGTCTCCAGAAACGGCATACGTTGGAAGTGCTAGGTACAGTTTTGTTTCCTTTTTCAGAGGTTCGATGACACGAGCTCCCCTGCATCTCTTTTGCACACCCTGTCCATGTTGGTTTAGCTTGTACCCTTTACTCTCAATCCACTATAACATGTCCAAAATGCAGCTAGAGAGGTACGCCAGTTAGTACGGGTTAGTCACTGAGCACTCACTTTCGTTCGGTGACTGATTCATGCCGATTCATCGGATGCTTCTCAGAATCAAGCGATCGCACAGGTTGCACCGATCACGCGATCACTGATCACGCATCACTTCACCAGGGTCATTGAGTCGAAAGCACACATGATTTTTTTCAGTTAATAGACTGAAACCTTCGAAACCACTAAAGAAACCACTGTAGAACATCGAAACCTTGCTTGATGGTCTTTTTGAACGTCGAAACCTTAGACTCTTCACGGAAACTAAAACTATGTAGACAGTTGCACCGCCGTGCTGAGGTACAAATGAGGTAGAATTCAGTGAGCTCCTTGCCAGCACCTGGTTGTTTGTGTTATAGCTGTTAGCTGCCAGTGTGCAGCCTCGGCTTTGCAACATCGTGGTTCTTTTGAGAAAGCAGACCGGCAACAAAGGCCTTTGGCTGAAGTCCCAAAGCTGTGGCCTGCTTGAGGTGACCTTGACTTGTGCAATTGAATTCCTTGGAGGTGAAAATCATCTACCCCAACCCATCCATGAAACTGACCTATTCACCTCTACATTCAGATCTACATCACCTTCAATATTCATAGGACACCACATCTTCCAGTCCTTTCTCGACAGCCGTCCACAACGGAAAATGGGCCGCCCACTCTCCGTCAAGTGACGACGGCCGAGGCATTGCTACTACACCTACAAGTATCCCAGCACCGAAGCAGTGGATTTGAACCAGCTGCTTGGCCAAAGCCGCGAACCGGCCCTCCGCTAGTCGATGGAGTCCGAGAAACAGGGCCGGCCGATGATCTTTTACCAAGGCTCCCTTGTTTGGGGTCTCTAGAATGCTCTCACCAGGGGTGACCGGGTGTCCAGATACTCGACCCAACTCCAGGCTTGGTTCGGTCGGAGATGTGAAGGGAAGGGGACTCCTCTCAATCGAATCCGATCCGGATCCCTTGCAGGTGGACCTGCCCCCGATTCTATCCGTTTGGTGCGATTGGTCGATATGCCCAATTGGTCGGTTTGCAGCGGTCGGAGAGTCCATGGAGATCCAGGAGGGTCTCTTGCAGAAGGGTGTGTTTCAAGACGTTTCAAGTGTTCTTTGTTGCAAGAGAACGGAGATGACCATGACGATGACGCAGCCAGCCAGGCTCTTGTTCGCAGCCATTTTGCTTGGTTCTTGTTCGCTCAAAGCTGCCGCCCTGCCGCGGTTCCGCTTGGAACAATGGAGATCATCACACTGTCAGGTGTGAGTCTCACCCAGATCTGTGAGGAGGAATTGGGCTGCATGGTGGAGAGTGGAGCATTTGTTGAGGATCTGAAAAAGCTCCTTGCCGCTCGGCTTGGATACTCAAGATTTCGACAAAGACTCTTCAGTGAGGACGCGGGAGAGCTACTGGATGATATGCCTGTCAGACAGCTACCAAGTGTACAGTTGGTAATCCTGGACTTCTGTGCACCTGAGGAGACTGTTTGGGAGGCACTACTGCTTGCGTGTAAGGAGAACCAAGTTGATGAAGTCACTCGTTTGCTTCAGAAACCACTGGATCCCAATGTAGACAATGACGCTCCACCCCTGTATTTTGCGACAGAGGCCGGGCACTTGAAAGTGGTACAGTTGCTGCTCGAGGCTGGAGCTGACAAGAATGTGGCGGTTGAAGATGGAGTAACCGCCTTGATGCTTGCAGCTTACAAAGGCCACTTGGAAGTCGTGCGCTTGTTGCTCGAGGCTGGAGCTGACAAGAATACGGTAGACGCTCATGGAGCAACCGCTCGGATGCATGCATTTGAGATGGGCCACTCAGAAGTGGCGCGGTTGCTGGAGGCTGGAGATGAATCATTTAGCGGCAGCGGCTGCAGAGAATGACCACTTGGACGTGCTGCTGTCGCGCTTGGACCTCGTGTGCTTTGAATCAATGAGAAATTTGCAGCTCAACCGCCATGGCCGGGATCCTATTCACCAGCATCATGGCCTTCAAAAGGAATGAACAGCGGCGCTCGACATGAAATGCTATGTCGATCGACATGAATACATGTTATTTCCGGGACCCGACTTCTCGTATTTAGAGAAAATGGGACAAGACATGGGACAGGACATGACCCGATCCCAACAAAAACAGGTCTACAAAATCCCCGGATCTCCAGACACTGCGAGGTACTTGACTTTAGTCGACGAGGGAGCCGAAGACGAAGCGAGTCCAGTCTTCCCCTGCTCGAAGCAGCGAGAGTTTTGGAACGCCCCACAGGAGTGAAGCAAGCAGGCCTCGGACGTCCGTCTCAAGTTGCTCTATAGAGGTGGAAGCCTGCTACGTTCCTCGCGTGGAAATGGGCTACGTCAGAGGCAGACCTTTCGGAAGAGAGACGCAAGGTGAGTCTACGCGTTTTGCTTGGAGGGTCCTGATCTGTGTCACAGCCTCCTTCTGTTCCACCCCCATACCATATACAGCAGTGTCTACGTCGAGAAATTGGTGCTGATGTTTATGTGGACATGTACATCCTCTATCCCACAGTGTCCCCCACTCCTCACCGCCCCCGCGCCACACACACTGCTGACCCGGCCGTCTGCCGTCTACACTGGTGCGGCCGTCGACCTGACCTTGAGCCCCTGAGCACCTCTCTGGGTGAGCGCTCGCGCTGAGGCAGGTGATCACAGTGAATGTGGGGCTGATGGAAGCGATCGGGAACTCCTTGCAGAAGATCGTGGCCGAACTGCATGGTTCGTCGACCAGGTTCTACCGACCGTGGTGGACTCTTCCGGGGCTCCCAAGTTCAAGGTCAGGGAGCAGTGACTCCAAGTTGGCAAGTTGAGGAAATATAGAACCGTATATAGAACCCTAACAAAGAAGGTTAGAGTCATCCACAGTCAACCTTTCAAGCTTTGAACTTCAATTTAGATTGCCTCCATTTCACTTCTGGATGTGAAAAAAGCCTTTGAAAGACTCTTGCTGGTGGGTTGGTTTGCTGCGGGTTTGACCATATTCAACAGACAGGACGCCCTTTTCTGGGTGGGAAGTACCACGATGGCGATTGGCCCTGCCCTTTTTTCAGCCGAAGGTTTGCGGCCAACCAAGGTGGCCGGACTCGGTTGAAGAACAAATCCGCAGAAGATCACCATGGATCACCTGGTAGACTCAACCGATCGTGACCCAACTCAAACCTTCAAAGGGTCACTGGATGGGACATATATAAAAAGGTATAAAAAGGTGACGTTGGCAAGTTGTTCTTATCTTTTCCGGATGGAAGAGACTTGAAGTGAAGATAGTGAACAAATTGGAAGCCTGGAAGCCATCCAAGAGTGACGCGACCAAGAGAGTTCTATATGTAAATATGTTCCTTTTGAAGGAGACCGAGGCTGGACATTTAATCAAAGTCTTGGTGACCATTTTGGCTTCAAATATAAGTCCATCCTGAAGAAACACGTTTGACAGAACACAAGTAAGCAGCAGAATTTGGTGCATGATGTTTGCATGCATGATTGTACTTGAAGAATAAATCTGCGTTCACACAGAGAAAGCCATGGTGCGTGTTGCATGTGTCGCGGGTTTTTGTGCCTCTTGAGGATTACATCGTGGTGGTCGTCTGGGGTACCCTGGCACTGGAACAGCTGAATGCGACAACCACAACGGTGGAGGACTACATGCGCGGCCAGCTGCCTCTCGACAAGTGGACAGATGCCTACCCAGGAGAGACTCAATGTTCAAGTTAAGGATTTTAATAGAGGGGCCAACAGCATCAGTAATGTATTGATTATAATGATTCATTCAATTGTATAACGATATATACATTAATAATGATATATTTTAATCTATAAGGATCATGATACATTATATATAGACATACCAGGACCTTCAAAGTGACCCTTTGATATCCCAGGATGAGGTCACTTAGGTCTGTACAAGGTCACTGGAGGAGACTCCAAAGAGGTCACGAACTGAAGGTCCTGGTATATAGACATATTCTGACAGATGATGATTCATCAAAGCAAAACAGGCATCCGACACGCATGATCCTTACCCGACCTCACGCTCGACCTCGGCACCGACTCCCAGACCTGGAAAATGAGAACGTTTGTCGTACCTGTGGCCATTCAAAGAAGAACCGCTGTATGGAACACATACACCTGAAGTCGACCTGTCATGTATTTCGGAAAGTGGGAGACAAGTATATAGTCGTGCCTGGACCTGTCTTTTCTTCAGGTCAGACCGTGCCATGTTCTTTTCGATACGAACGTTCAACGAGTTTTTGGGTCAGACCCGGGATGAGTCAGAGCTTCGGCTGTGGCGCGCCGTCAGAGGTTCGTCGTGCGATTTCGATCTCAACCCCCGCCGACCCGGTGAAATGGACCGAGGTATGGTCTGGGGATCTCCCGGGGCACCAAGGCACCATCCTCTTCTGAAACGCCCCATCTCCATGATCTCCGTCCGATTCCCCATCTCCATCCCGGGTCTTTCTACTCGCGTGAGAACTCATGGATACAAATGACTCATGGTGAGAACCTTAGTGACTCCGTGGTTTAGGCTTTAGATGGCTTTAGGGGAATGGACCTGAGAGGAATGACAGGGCGGGTTCATGAAATTCTGACTCAATAGAGAATCCATTCCCAGGAGTCACATATCGGGATGCTGTGGCTCGCCATCCGTTCGTCGCCGTGATTGGATCTGTGACGTCGGGCACACCTGTACTCCTTCCGAAGGGTTCGGTCGCCCGGCATTCCCTATGTCTCACTCCTCCTTTCGTCATGTTTTTGTTCATCTTTAATTACGGATTCATCTTTCGATCCTAGCACCGTGAGGCTCTCCTTCAGTTGGCCCAACGACTTCGGAGCAGCCGCTCAGCAGGGTACGTCGAACGACGTCGAGTTCTGTGGTGCACGAAACGACGAAATTGGCCATGAGCTGATGCCACTCGAGTCACCCACTCGAGCAATTCCGGAGAACGTTTGACAACATGCAGGTCGAACTGGACTTTGACAGGGAAGCCGTAGGAAAAGACAGACTCACACTTAGAAGAGAGCTCGCATTTGCATCATTCGGTAACAGTCTTCTACTACAGGGCCCTTAGAAGCAGGCTTTTACACAAAGACACATACCAAGGACCCTCCAAGGGGTGTCCAATGGACTACCCCACACTACCTATAGGCTTCCATTGGGCACCCCTTAGAGGGTCCTGGTACCAAGGACCTGGATTTGGATTTTGGAGGGTGGGATGTCCAACGCCCAACCCCCCTTAAGCCCAACCACTTGGCCCCAGTGGTCGTCTATCCTCGTCCTTCTCCTCATATCTCCACTTTTATGCTTTTGATGGATCTTTTTGCATGCGCAAATATTTTTGGAGCAGACCCACTGTTACACACACGTATTGTTTTCTATTCATCTTCCCTGAAGCTTTTAAAGGGCTTCTCCCAATTCATGTGTTTTGTTGGTTTATTTGTATTTATTTGAACTCCACAGCGGCCGGAGCAAAAGAATTTCCCACTCCAAGGACTTTCTGGCCGAGTTCAGCCAAGCTCCCAACCAAGGTGGCTTCAGGCACGGTCAGCACGTCACGTCAGTCGAACAAAGAGCTGTGTTCGCATGTATTTTTGGGACATGATCTAGAACCATAGATGGCCTGACTTACGGCCTTGCTTGGTTTATGGGAAGAGGATACCCCCCGGTTGTGAACAACCAAGATCCACTAGGTTGTTTCGGCATCTGGCAGGTGACCGCTCTATTCCAAAAAAAACGAGGACATAGGAACCTTTTGGGTGATGCGATGGGAGCTTGGTTCGCTTGGTTCGCTTGGTTCCCGTCTGGAGATCCCGTCTCACCCGGAGGCGAGTCACCTGGAGCATCCTCCCCATCTCCCAGACCCTGGGGTCGGTCCCAATTTCGGAATTCATATGGAGGTAGCAAGCTTCGTGAACTTGCATGTGGTCATGACACTTGACTCCTTGACTCGGAGAGTCCAGAGATTCCATACATTTGTATACATTTGTTTCATCCAAATGGTTCTCATGGTTCTCCTGCTTGGTGAGCAGACGTCGAACAATCACATGCGCGGCCTGAGTCCCGAATAACCAGTGTTTCACCAAGGATCGACTACAACACATACAAAGCCAGGTCAACCGACTCTACTAAGCGTCGGAACGGAAGACAAACGGTAGAAGTGGAAGTTCTGGTCTTTGCAGCTCAGCAGGCCACCTGTGTCAAGAACTTCAGCTATACACTCTCTGGAATCATCACGGTTACGTGGATCGCACCACCTGTTTGTTATTCGGAACACGGCCATCCCATCCCATATATATACCCTAACCTTCAAACCTATATTGTTTTAATACCGGTTGCTCTAACCTACATTTCATGCTTTTTGGAAATACCCGAGCACATGCCTATGTGAATCACGCTCATTCACGCTCGGTGACCCTTACCCCCAGCACCCATCGATAAAACAGCAATCTTTTCTGGGCTGGTTCATCCGCTGCTTCGGCGTGATGTGGTGTTCAGCCTGAGAGCAAGGGCGATCGGGTTGAAAGCCTAACTCACCCAACTTGGGATGCAACATATGCAATCACCATTCCAACATCAAAAAACATCAAACACATTCAAACAACCAAGTGGCTGTTTCTGGTCTACCCACTGCTTCGGCGTGATGTAGTGTTCAACCTCACAAATTGAGTAAAAGTGTAAAAGGGGCTGAGAACTCCGAGGTTGAGTAAGAGATCAATCTGTAACGTGCCAAGTCGCTGATCGATGCGATGCTTCATCGCACGTAGCCTGCGCTGCAGGAAGGTCTTGAAAGAATTGGTCACCCAACTAGCCAGTGTCATGGTTTGGCACAAGGCACAAACTTGAACCCGCCTCAATTTCGAGGTCTTGAGGATCCATTTGTCCCTCGTTCGTGGATGCGCCCTCAAAGCACAGCCTGAGAAAGGGGGACGGTTGGGACGTTCACTGTAGAAATCAAATCCACTAGTGCACTGAAACCAACTAAGTTGACCACCCTTGACCCAGCGAATCGAATCCTCGTCACAGAATGTATGCGTCATTCGAGGGTTTTCACCTGAGAACCAAAAATCAAAATCAACCCAAGAACAAACAATAGACAATAGGTTACATAGGTCGATGACCAAGACACGGTACCACAGTACGTCATAGCAAATGTGACATAGGACCTTGGGCAACCCAAACCCACACATAGCGGACACACATGACAATGACACCTACAAAACAAAACATTAGGACAAGCTGCGTGCAGCTTTGGCTTGACAAGCCAAGCGGATTTGCCCTGCCTCCCAACAAGGGCAAATTAGCAACTGTTCAAAACAATGGGGTTGGACAAGGGCCCTCTCGAGTGCAGGCCTTATATTCAAAAGGCACAATGTCTTGAAGAGCTCGATGAACTCAACACCGCAATCAAAGAACTGTTTGGCAGCGCCGGCTGTCCTGGTACAAACACAGCTACAGTAGACTCCAACCAGGAGGGTTTGCACAGCAGATGCACTATTTTCAGCTTTCCCTAAATAATGACATTCTCTGATTCTGAGCCATGGGTCAAAAAGCGTGGCTGCTCTTGCATGATGATGAAGAGCTTCACCACCATACTCCTTGCAGGACTGTTGGGGCCACAGTGAAAGGTTCTGAACATATGCACATTGACCTCCCTAGAGTGTGGACTCTTGTAGAGTCAGATAAAACAAGCTAAGAATCAAAGCAGCTGATGTCAGCAAAACGACTTGGTCATTGGGATGCTGTTGCCGAGCTTGCAACATACAATGGTTCAGCCAAGACAGCACACACCTTCCGTTGTGTGCCTTCAATGTCATCAGATGCTCACCAGTCTTCTTGATCACCTGGTTTGGGGGTGGAACAATGAGGCTATGTGATTTGTATGTTCTAGCATGATTCAACTTTGGTTCGTGTGTGAACTTGGGACAAATGCCAAGCTACAGTTTTGATCTTGAATGGTGGTTGAGAGTGTCGAATCTTGTGCTCCCTGCAAAACTTGATGAAATGACCATACGCAGCTTCCAGCTTGGTTGGCAAATCGCCAGGACCGAAGAAGTTCAACTCTTCGCAAAGGAGCATCCTCAACATGCTGCTTGGCTTTTCAAGTGTGTTCAGAGACACACACACACACACTCTGGAAAACACACACCCGCCCCTACCCCAACTTCATGACACACTCTTTGCAGATCAAGCTGCATGCTCCCACCATTGACACTGAAGAGTAGTCCTAAATTCAGCGTATGCATAGTACACCATCGGAAGAGGCCCGGGTGCATGCCCTTGACCGTCAACAAGGGACCTTACTTTCATGCGGGAATTTTTCGAGGATCCAGATATTCTAAATCGACCACGGCCACCAAAGGTTTGAATCATAGTATGTGCAGTGCAGTGTGCAGCCTAATGATCGATATATCCAAAGATCAACTCTCGCACTAATCTGCATTCTAGCTACAAAGGTTGTTGTCCTTCATGCGGTGGGACAGAAACTCAGCGAAGCTAAACTGCTCATATATCCAGGCACACTGGTCACCAGACTGCACTGCGCCAGTTGTGTAGTAGAGCCTTTCCTTTGGACCACTAGACAGGGCCGGGCACTTGAAGCATATGTCAATGGCCTGCCATGAGGACTTGGGACGGAGTATGTCCCTAAACCACTCCCAATCACCACGGCACTCGCTTAAAGCGAAGCACATGTGGTCTTGGGTCAACCACAGACCGCCTGGATCCACCCCGCGAAAACATCCATTGATGCTTTCAGCAATTTTTTTGAACACTGCATTGAGTGAGCGGTTCTTGACCATACGGAGGGTGTCGCAGGTGTAGAGTAAGAATCTGGAGAACCGGACAGAACGGGGTTTCCACAGAGGCAGGTTCAAAAAGACAGCTGTGATCTTTTCATGTTTGTACTGCAAGAAGGTCTTGGCACTGTCTCCGTAGAGACCTAGTGGACAATGACATTCACTGGCCGGATGAGCAAGGGCCCATGGCTGTCCTCGTGCACGGTGGTGCCGCCAATATGCTCGAATGTCTTCAGCTCGTACCCTCACCCCTGCATCCTGAAACAAATACCTCAAAATGGCATGGGGATATATGATTGGATGGCTTTCAAGGATGGTCGCACCTTTGACTTTCTCGCTCTTCATAGGAACCCGAATAGTATCAAGTGCCTCATGACTTGATGGGGGATTGAAAACACATTTCACCAAGACAAGACCAGCATAAGTGCAAACTTCAGCTCAGGTTAATCGGTTAATCCTATACAGCCTCAAACTGACAAGTTGCGATTGGGATATCCGCAAAGTTCCAGAAGTCTCTAGTGTCATTTTTGCCAGACATCGTACCAAGCTTGGCAGTTTGTTCGTGAACACCAAATACACCACTCTCCTTATCACCAGACCAGGGAAGCACAGACAGATTCGAGAATGCTGACAGCACCGCAGCGCGCTGTATAAGCCGAGGTTCTTTCACGTGGTCCCGGATGCGCTTCATCGCTTTGTGCACGGACGAAGCCTCAGATTGGGAGAACATCTGGTGGAAACGCCTGGTACTTAAACAAGTTCAAGTTCTCGGTCAAATTTGCTTCCTCATGTTGTTTTAAATGTTGAAGACTGTGGCAAGTTTCTCCAGAGCTGATATCATCTATGGATCCCTGCACAACATGAGGGGCACCAGTTTCACTACCTGCAGACAGGTACCAGTAATCTAAAGCCTTGCAAGTGCATGTGTGTGTGTGTCTGAGACGCCGCAGTGACGACAACTAGTTTACAACCAAAGCCCAGCAAGTATTCAAACAGCATTGCAAATAGTTGCGGGGAAGTCAATCAGCATTTCCTTTTTTCACACGTTTCAACCCCAGAGTTTCACGGATTGAAGCCCGTTGTGCGCAATTGCACACAAAGGCCAGAACCATATCCAGAGGCATCATCACACCGCTGGAGCCCCAAGTGTGTTTGGGTTTCCCTGAGGAGAAACATTTCTTAAACAAAACCAGCAAACCTGCAAACGACAAAAGCAACAATGCTCCATCATTTCGACATCACATTTTATGTCGACTTGCTATAGAATAAGTCCTTCGGTTAGCAGGGTTCCCAGATCAGCTTCAGCAGGTTCTAGGGCTTCACAAATGATGATGCCATACCCACTGATGTCAGGGCCTTCTTCAGGCCAAAATCATTTAAGATTGTAGGTCTTCAAAAATTGAACAAACGAGGACCTTTCCTTTTCGGCTGTTTTCATGTCCTCCTCCAAGGTGCCCAGCTTCTCCACCTGCCGATAGCCGACATCAAGATCATGTTTGTTTGGCGCCAAGCTGGGTCTAGAACATGTCGATCATGACCGCTAGCAAAAATCTTCAGCCTTAGCGGAGTCGATCGAGTTCTGAAGGTCTCCACGAGCCGCCTTCAAGGCAGCCTGATACACACGCACACACAGGGACCACGGGGTGACCGAAGAAAAATTGACATTTGTGCACCTTGTGAGGTTCCACATTTTTCAGTATAGCCCTTTGTACTTCCTCACTCCTGGGCAAATTTGGAACTGTGACCATCCATAAGAACGAAGAGCAGGAGGCATCAAGGATCAATGATTTACCAAGTGGTTAACAAAGCTACCGATGCCAATCGTTCTTAGGCAGTGACATGCCGTGAACCTTTGCTGTCAAGTTGGAGGCCCGCATCACAGTGTCGGTGACTTTTGTCAGCTCCTTGCCGCATTCAGGGCTGATGTCACTGATGTGGTGTAAAAAAACTCAATCTGCTCCATGAAAAAGAGATCAGACTAGTATAGATTCTATAGATTCCTCACTGGATTGGTGCATGTCAAAGGCCTTTTTCTAGATCAATCCTTCGCATGTTCGTTTTGGAGGGATGGTACACATGGCACATGCATGCACATGCACGTATTCCTTGTTGGCTTCGCTGATCTTTTTCCTAAACTCTTGATTCTTTACCTTGGCTGCCTCCTTCTTTTGTCTCTCTGCTTCAGCCGCTGCTTCTTTTCTCTCTTTCTCCTCCTGTTTCTTCTTAGCATCTGCTTCAGCTTTTTCTCGCTTTGCCTTCTCTGCCGCTGTCTCTGCTTTCCCAGACCCAGCCTTCTTCTTTGCTTTCCCATCTTTCCCCTTTGCTTTTGCCTGCAAACAAGCCGCTTTTCGATAGCGAACCTAGTGCCAGGAAACCCGCCTTGGTTTTCTCAGGGGATGGAGAGCAGGACAATGATGAACTCTTAGACGAAGGGCTATCACTGTCAGACGAATGAGACGATGATGAGGAAGAACTTTTCTTTCGAGGTTTCTTCTTTGTATTCTTCTTGTGTTTCGATTTCTTTTGGTGTTCCTTGTGTTTCTTCCGGCCCCTCGATTTCTCCTTGTTCTCCATCTCATCATCTGAGTCACCCTTATCCGCTGCAGCAAAGAGACTCTCGGTGACATGGTCTGTGGATGACTCTTCTCCATCATAGTCCCACACCAAATACTGGCGTGTCTCCTTGACTTTGCCAACAGGGGGGTTGAGAGTGAATCCCCAATTTGCACAGGAACCTAATTTGTCACATGATGTCAAAACACCGTTTCACATGGAAGGTCAAGGTTCATCGCTGTCCACTCCGTGGCAGTCCGGGTGGATGCGGACTTGGCTTGCGCGGGTCTCCTCGTCCAAAGCCATTTTGGCCTCGATGATACGATTTGCTATTTCTTTACTTCCATATTTCATCTCTATTTCACTTCTTGTGAGCCACTTCCGGGCCCCACGGCTACGCTGTTTGCTCTTCTCTTTAAAGGTTTTCCAAAACTCTGAGGAACGCCAGGCACCATCACACGCTAGCCATTGTTCCTGAAGGATTGCCAATTTTTGAGAGCCTGGGCTGTGACAAACTTAGAGATGCAATGATGCAACCCTGGTCATTTGTGCTATGTTGACATGTTTTGGTAAGTGTTTGCTGATCCAGCCAAAGGCGCATCTGTGGGCGCTTTTGCCGGCACGGCGAATTTCAAGAGGTGTGTTCTTACCTCAACTGCGGGTGGTTGGGCCCCAATTGCCAAAAGGAAAAGTGCGAGGCCACAAAGTGGAAAATTAGCCATGTATGTGGTATACGTTGTATGTGCACATGCATCGATCTAGAACTCAACATTGCTACTGGGTGCGTACAACCAAGCTACTTTTGAGAGATCTTGAGAATCGCATAAATCTCGCGTGAGCCTGTTTCTTCAGTCGTACTTGCTCTTCGCGCTTACGAAGTGCTCCAGAAGACTCAGAATCTGAGTCAGGTTCATCAACCTCCTGTGCTTTCTCCTTTTCCTCTTTCTTGTTCTTCTCTTCCTCCTTCTTCTTTGCCTCTTCTGCTCGAGCCTTCTCTTCAGCGATCTTCCTCGCCTTCATTTCTTCTCTTTCTTTCTCTTGTTTTGCCTTCTCTTCCTCCTTCTTCTTTGCCTCTTCTGCGTTAGCCTTCTCTTCAGCGATCTTCTTCGCCTGCATTTCCTCCTTTTGTTTCTTTTGTCTTGCCTTCTCTTCCTCCTTTTGCTTTGCCTCTTCTGCTTTAGTCTTCTCTTCAGCGATCTTCTTCGCCTTCATTGCATCTCCTTCTTTCTTTTGTCTTGCCTTCTCTTCCTCCTTCTGCTTTGCCTCTTCTGCTCTAGCCGCCTCCTCTTCAGCGATCTTCCTCGCCTTCATTTCTTCTCTTTCTTTCTTTTGTCTTGCCTTCTCATTTGCCTCCTTCTGCTTTGCCTCTTTGTCCTTCTTTGCTTTCATTTCATCGTTCTCTTTCTCTTTTCTTGCCTTCTCATCTGCCTCCTTCTGCTTTGCCTCTTTTGCTGTAGCCTTCTCTTCAGCGTTCTTCTTTGTCTTCATCATATCTTGTCTCTCTTTATCTTTTCTCTCATTCTCTTCCTCCTTCACTTTGACCGCTTTTGCTTTTGCCATCTCTTCAGTGTCCTTCTTTGCCTTCATTTCCACGTTCTCTTTCTCTCGTCTTGCCTTCTCCTCTGCATCCTTCTGCTTTGCCTCCTTCTGCTTTGCCTCTTTTGCTTTAGCCTTCTCTTCAGGGTTCTTCTTTGTCTTCATCATGTCTTCTCTCTCCTTGTCTTCATTCGCCTTGTTCTTCCTTGCCTCCTTTTCCTTCTGCTTTCGAGCTTCAATTGCATCTGCAAAAACTACTGCATTGGCCTCCCTTTCCATAGCAACCGCGTTTGCCCTTTCCCCATATTTGTGCTTCAACTCCTCCCAAGCTTCGTCGGTGTCGCCAGGGATGGAGGCCATTGCCTTCTCCTTTGCTGCCTTTACCTTTGCCTTCTTCGCCTTCATTTCCTCTCTTTCTTTCTCTTGTCTCTCCTTCTGGTCTGCCTCCTTCAATTTGCGTTGACTCTCAACAGCCTCCTGCCTTGCATTGTCTTCTTGTTTCCTTTTTTGCCTTGCTGCACGCTCTGCCTTCTTTGTTGTCTCCATGTCTTGGCAAATGTCCTCTAGCTCCGAACTGTTTTCATGCATGCGCCTCAATCGTTTGTGTTCTCGAGCTGCTTGCCTTTCTTGCTTATCCACACTCTGTGATGACTTTCTCCGCAGAACCTCATGTACTGCTGCAGCCTCTTCCTCGTGCTCAACCTTTGTTTGTTTTTTTTCATTCCCTAAAGCTTTTCCACTAGTCTGCACTTCCTTGTCTTCTCTGACTGCGGCTGCCTGCTTTGCTGCACGGGTCTTCACAGTTGACTTGTCGTCCATGGTTCGCGCACTAGGTCGTGGTGTCTTTAGGTCTTCAGATCCTGGCATTTTGCAGGCATGTGAATTTCCCAAACAGTTGTAGGCTCATCGTCCATGTAGTAGCTGACCCAAGCAAACAAAATGTTCCTAGAACTGTTTCATTAAGAAAGCTGTTGGCCGATTGTGACTTGTCTAGATCGATCCCGGCCTTTCTTTTGAATCTGACCTTTGCTCTTTCCTTCATAATCTTCAGGGCTCCTGGCTGGGTGGGAATCGAGCCGGTGAATTGTATCATGTTCTACTATGTTCTACAGCTAGAATCCCGAGGAATTGACTAATTAAAGCATCTCTCCAATTTAAGCTGAAAGTTCAATTCCAGGATTGAATCAGCACTTGCCAAACACTCGCTCCTCTCAGCCAGGTCCAGAGGCGGCATTCCCAAAGCCTCCTTCTCCGCAAGTCGGGCTGCCCGGCAAGCGGCCTGCTTTAAGACCTCCTGAACCCTGTCTGACATGGATCCAGGCTTGATCAAAACATTTCTGCAAAATTCTAAGCAGATCTGACAAATTTCAACTGTGGACATGTTTTTGGGGGTGTTTTGGACCAATACAGGTTCACGCACAACAATGCAGGTTCACGCACAACAATGCTGGTTCACGATCCATTCACGCTGTTTCACGCTCCATTCACGGTACCTTTTTTTGAACAAAGCTTGATCCACCACCGATCATCATGGTTCTTCCTGCATGGCCACTCCCACAACTCGATATGGGTAGGGACAGCTGAATTGGTAAATTGTTTGCAGGGCCTCTATTCCAGGCCATCATTCATGACAGGCTTGTACCGGCCATGTGCCACTTCATTGAGTAAAAAGGTTCGCATCATTGATAGCTGGGCGTGCCTCCATCGATATGGCGCCTGTCCCACTCAGGATTAGATCAATATGGTGTACGACATGCAGCCCCCAATCGCCAAACATGTAACTGATCTACATCCAATGCGCCTTTGGAACCTGGGCGAGACGCTCATTCGTGTGCTCAGGTGGAAACATGGCCGAATTCCACTCCTTCATGCCGGGCTTCCCATCGGCCTGGGCGAACAGGGACAAATAATGCAGGATATAGGGTTTGGGCTTGATCAAGACTTGTACCATCGATATCAAGGCACTAAGAATTTTGAGTGTAGCTGTGCAATCTTCTTTCCATAGTTGCGAGGATACACTTGGCTCGACTTCAATGCATGTGGATTTCCACACCTTGGCAACCCCACAAATCAACCCAGCTAGGCCACCCCAAGACCAACACTCCAACATATGTAGCTGAGCCATGAGTCATGTGGCTGAGTCCTGCACACTCGCTCGTTTCCAGCCTTGTCTATGTAGCGCCGAACCATCCTCACTTTCCTAGCCGACCTTTTGGCCCTTTCAAGAACACGCTTCGAAGCCTTCTTTTTCAAGGCATGACTCCAGGGCCTCAGGCATCTGGAAACCAGACAAGGGCTGGGGTCAGTTGGGCTCAGGAGACCTGTCCAAGCTCCGGGCGCAGTACCAAATGTCTTGGTTGGCTTTAGATATTGGTGTCCATAGCATCCCATGGGACTCAGAGCAAAGGATCGGAGGGAGGTACCAAACTCATGATCACTTGAAGAATGCCAGGCTACTTGGAAAAAAGAATACTCACTGAGTCTCCAGCAAAGTAACAATGGACCATTGTTGAAAAAGGCTCAGTGTTTTTTGAAGCCAGAAAATGTAAGGGCACCAAGGCATTAGGCTGCTCAAAGGCTGCTCTATCAAGCACACGACCATTCTCACCGCTCCCAGGACTAGAAGTAGGACCATCCTGCTGGTGATCCTCAGTTTCAACACCCATGAAGTCAGAACACCTATCCAAAAGCATTTGCCATATACCCTAGGGTCAAAGACTATGAAAGGAATGGTCTTTAAGGTGCCGGAAAGGGGTCTTCCAGAACTTCACTGAGATATTATTATATCGTTTGACTTCTAGGGTATATATGCAAATGGCAAAACTGCAACTGTTGAGTTGTAGGTGCCCGCATACTCCCTGAGTCCGAGGTGCATATTGGCCCTTCTCACGTACTCCCTAGTACTGTTGAATCCCAGAGGGCGGAGTTTGCTCCGGCCAGACGTCCCCATGTTCAAGAATACATAGGAGCCGCAAGGGGGGCCACCTGTGATCAGTCCTCCTTCTTCTGTTCGAAGGATCAAAGCTATGGCCCTCAAGAAGCCAATCCTCAGAAGTTGACATTTGAGGGGAATGTGGAAGATGGTGGATGAAGTCTTTGGCTGGGAACCAAACACGGTGCAGATGTCACCTTCGTCGCCTTGAGTGGCTTGATCAAATGGTTTCCTCAATTGGGCACAAAGCACCTTTACCGACCTTTTGCCCTACATGGCTTACCTCGAGAACTGTTGCTTTTCAAGACGATTTAAGAAGGGTCTATATAGAACCTAGATGCTTTTGTCATACAGCATTCGTTTCAAAGTCAACAAGTTAAAAAAGGCATTTCTGGGCCCAGCACGCCTTCAGTCCCAATTCATCTCAGCACGGGCATTGCTTTTTGATGGTTCTCTCCATTTGGAGGTGTTTGAGATTTACTCCATTACCTCAACTTTGCTAAGCTTTAGACCAAATCCTTTTGAAATAGCAGCTTGACCAGCAAATAGATCAGTGCATACTATATCCTCGTATCAGTCACTCAGCCGGTGGTTCACACACACAACATGTGAGTGGTAGATTCCAAAAGCATCTGAGGGGTCAACTCTCTGTTGGGTGGACTGCTGGCCAACATAGTCCACGCAGTGCAGACTTAGGCGTGCAAGTCACACACCCCAACTGACTGGTGGAGCATTGATACAATGGATCTGCAGTCGGGTAACAAGATCAGCGGCACCCCGAGGTGGATCAGAAGCTGGGCCGCCCGGGAAGTCAAGGACAGGCGTCGTGCTGTCATGGTTCAGCCCTGCTTTTCCTTTTGAGGGCTGAGATGCGCTCGCAGGTTTCAAATATAGAATAGATCTAAAGGAGAAAAACAATGCAAACTGCTCATTCAGTGTGTGAGAATTTCAATGGCAAGAGACAGCACGTGCTGGGTGCCGTCTTTTCAAAGCGCACATCCCCTTGAATCATGACTGCATGTGTTCTTGTACTTCACATGCACAAAGCTCCCATGATTTGTATGTGGCGACACTGGCATGGCACACACGTCTCTATGTTGTAACCAACATGCAACACATTTTCCAATGCTGTACACATGCTATAATGTTGCAATGACGATATTGAAGCAAACTCAAACTGTGCTGCCTCTAAGCTCTAGTCGCCACCCAAAATTCTCAGCTACACCTACAGCTAAGCTTGAGGCGCTGCTTCCTCAGCAGCAGGAACAGGCTCCCACCCAGCAAGCTGTGTGGCCAAATGCCACCTCGAGGAACATGTTAATGCAGTACCGATCGATCAATAGGTTGTGGTCTTGGTGAGCCAAATAGATCTTGTTGATATTTGTTGATATATTTCGTAACATACAACATGAACTGAGACAAGCACGACTCCAATATCCCACCATGCTTCTGCCATCCAATGCTTGTACCCCGCAGATTGTCGGTGACCTGTGCAAGAGTGTGAGCGGAACATATGATGCGATTGCATATTGGATATATCGATGCATGTTGCGATCTTGAACCGCCCAAAAAAGGATATAGTCCCAGAGGCACTGAAATGGATCGCACGGCCACGATTCACCGCCACAATGCGTTCTTTCACAGCCGGAGACACCCAAAAGCTCCATGATGTAATCCTAAGCATTATGATTGGACTGGACGAAAGGGTTCCTCACATTCAGGTTTGCTGTGCACATTGGTTTCTAAACTCTTACACAGTGTTGGGCCCACGACATGACTCCAATACTCCCAATGTTGGAAGAACCATGCTTGCGGAACTCAAGAACTTGCTGCGCAGTAGGTCGGATCGTGTATGACCTGAGCGGTAGGTCGGATCGTGTATGACCTGAAAAAATTGATTCACTTGCGGCATCGTGCGGCACCTAGCAGTGATTGCATTGCTCACAAGGGGATTGTAAGGTTTGGACTTCCGAGTCAGGTCGGCCACAGTAATCTTTCCGTCGATCGCATTTGCAACGTCCTCCGGCATCTCAAAATGCTTTGTCCCCAAACGTGCCAAACGCTGGAGTTCACAAAGAGCGCCTTCCTAAGCAGAACAAGTTGAAACTTTGCACAAAACATTGAACACAGAACCCGCTTGTTTCTTGAAGACCTTGATGGAACAGTTGAGCCGCTTTGAGCACATGTGAATGTGGAGGACTCTGATGACAATATTTTTGTTTGGCTGTTGATCTAGTTATAGTTTGCTATAACTTTTGCAGCCAAAAGTCCCCAGTGCGCCATGCAGTAGTACCTTGCTTTCTTGTCTTTTTCTTTTTTGTTTCCTTGGTGCCGTCTTCATCCTCAAACAACCTCCTCCTCACAGGGTCTTCATTTCCTCCAGTTTGGCTCAGAGCTCGCTTTGCTGCGCGATGATGAAGACGGAAAGGGCTACTCTTAGCCTCTGACTCTTGCTGCTTTGCTTTCTCGTCCTTCTTTTGGCTCTTCCTCTTGAGCTTCTCCTCTGACGTCTCCTCAGCTTCTTGAGATGCTTCTGGTGTCTTTTCACTCATCTTTGCATCCAAACCTTCCTCCTCTACCTGCCTTGCCTTCTCCTGATGCTTTTTCTTGCCCTTCTCTCCATTTTCAAGCTTTGCCTTCTTATGCTCGCTTTGCGCCTTCTCCTCACCTCCTCTCTTCCTTGCCTTCTGTTCAATCTGCTTTGCAGCCTTGTCTTCCTCCTCTGGTGCTTCCGCCCTCTTCGAACGCTTCTGGGCATTGTCGTCCTTTGTTTCTTTTCTCTTTGGGTGCCTCTTCTTGGGCTGCTCGTCCTCTTCAACCTGACGTGCTTCTGCCTCCTTGGAAATCTTCTTCTTCCTTGCATCGTCATCTTTTTCCTTATCTTCGTCCTCTGCCTCCTTTTGCTTTGCAAGGTTCTCTTTCTTATTAGGCTTTTTTGGAGGGTCCTCCTCCTTCTCAAGCTTTGCCTCGTCAGGTGCTTCTTCAGAGATCGGACCCTTCTTCTTTTGGACTTTCTCCTTATGTGAGACCTTGTCTTCTTTTGTCTCCTTCTTTGGTCTTCCTCGCCCTCTCCCTTTCCCCCTTCCTCTCCCACGTCCACGTGTCGCCTTCTCTTGGTCAGAGTCCTCTTCGACTTCTCGAATGAGCTTATCGTCATCCTCAGCCTCTTCTTCCCCGTCTCCATATGTTTCCTTCATGACCTGGCGCATTTTTCTTTGGGCTTTTACCATATCCTCCTCCTGGTCATTGCACATTTGTAGCTCTTCCTTTGCAATGTCCATTGCCCTTTTGTGCAAGCCCTGATCAAGAAGCTCTTCCTCTTCCATCAAAGGCTTTCGGTCTTGGAAGGTCCCTCTCATCTCCTTCTCGCCCATTTCATCATCCGTATTGATCTCCAAGTCTGTATCCTCCCTCGTTCCTTCTTCCATTTTTTCCTGCAAGAGCTCTAAATGATGGACAAGTTGTCTTGTGTTTGGAGAGATGCCAGAGGGACTGGGGAAAAGCTCTTGTGAATCCTCCCAGTGGATGTTCATCATGAGGGTCTTTGCTTCATGAGGACTCATGTTTCTTAATGTTGCCCATGCCCACCGTGCCTCCTCGGCGCCAGGTGTCTGCTGAGCTGCCTCCTCGTCCTCACTTTCTTCAGGTTTCATCTTCTCCTCCTTAACTTCTTCTTTTTCTTCCTTCTTGCATGGGTCGTCCTCTTTCACAATTTTTTGCTGGGAGGGTTCCTCATCTCCTTCTCCTCCATTTGGTTCTGGTTCCTCTACTTCTGCTTCTGCATTTGTCCGTTTTTCTTCCCAAGCAGTCTCTCCTCCCTGAGGCTTCGATGGCTCAGGTGAGCTCGGCCAAGATCCTGAAGTATCAGACTCTTCAGGATCCAAAGGATTGTCTTCAGGGTTGTCTTCTGCCTCCTCTTCGGCGCCGGGTTCTCCTGCTTCTTCCTCTGCCTCCTCTTCCTGTCCTACTTCTTCTTCTTCTTCTGCCTCCTTGTCTTCGGCTTCTGTGCTTCTCTCTTTTGCTCCTTCTTTTGCATCCTCTGTTGCTGATCCTTCTGCGTTTCCCTTCTCATTTGATCCTTCTTCGTTTGCCTCCTCTTGTGCTGTTCCTTCTTCTTCTTCTGCCTCCTTGTCTTCAGCTTCTGTCTTTCTCTTCTCATTTGTTCCTTCTTCTTTTGCATCCTCTTCTGCTGTTCCTTCATCTGCCTCCTCATCTTGACCTTGTTGGTCTTTGTCGTCATCTGTTCCTTCTTCTTCTTCTGCCTCCTCTTTTGTTCTTCCTTCTTCTTCTTCTGCCTCCTTGTCTTCGGCTTGGTTCTCTTCTTCCTCCAGGTCCAGCAGCAGCCGTTTGCAATGAGTTGGATCAAAAGCCAGTTGTCTTTATATGTTGTTTTGTTTGTTTGAGTATGCGATGTGCTGGATGTACTATTGAACCTGTGCAGAATGTAGAATCCATCGCATTGAAGAAATCACCCTGCAAGGCTCCCAACCACCCAGCCTTGTGGGTTGCGCCTCTTCCACGTGTGGCCTTCTTCTTTCCTTGTGGAGTCAAGAGTCCGCAGGCCTCACGTGAAAATGATGTGTCAGTGCACATGCACATCGATGTGTACACAACACATGTTTGGTACAGTGCAAAGTAGATCATCAAAGTACTGTTCATGACATGTTTGTGCCTGGAGCCGGCTCTTGATTACAGCTTTGATTTGCTCCATCCCTGTGTGGCCACGCCTGAACACATATGTGCCAATGGAAATCTGTCGAGCTGATTCGGGAAAGTCTTAACATGTTTGAGACCAATGACATAAAGCTGAATGTAAAATGCAAATTCAAATTGTCTAGGCCTCGCAGTGCTGTTGTTCTGAAATCGGGTCATGCAGTATGATGCCATTGCCCTTTGCACCCCAGACTCCACCAGAGCCCATGCCTTTAGTCAGCATGAGCTCATGAGTTCGAGAAAAAATCTAAGTACAAGTACACCAAACAGCACTCACCGAAACCCACGGACGGTCGCTCGCTAAACAAGGTGCTGCGTGCTCAGATTCATTCCGAAGTTGGGGATTGAGTCCAAAGGTCATACTTGCCCATGTGAGTGCTTCCTGTGAAAATGCCATCATGAGTTTTCTTGAGTGACTCGATATACTCACCCACCGCTTGTGCTGATGTTGATTGAAGCTCAACTCAGATCGACCCAACTAAACCCATTGGTCCTGACACTCCATCTCCGACGGCAGCTTCTCGCAGAAGCTAGCAAGGTAGGCCAGCAAGAACGTCAGGTTGTCCTCGTGCTCCACCTGTGCATTGGTAAGCAAGGTTTGCTGCTGTTGTTGTGTTTCGCATGTTGGATATATCGATCTAAACATTATCATTATCATTGTAATATCATGGCATCTTGAGTTTGTGCTTAATGGCTACTGTTCACACTGTTTCAAAAAATCCTTTGGACTAGCGAATTATAGACTATGGTTGGCACCTGCCTCATGTTCCTTGATGCAGAGGTTAGCCTTTTTGTCCTTGTCCTTGTCCTTGTCATCCGTCATCACGAAGCGAGATACAAAGGAAAATGCTGGTACCTGGGTTGTGTTACACCCACAGGGTAGCTGAGCAATAAGAAATTGAATCAGCCCAGCTATATTGAAAAAGCCGAGCTAACCTTTTGTCACCTACCCTGAGTCCAGCCCGCTTCTTCAGAAGGGCACGGCGGTTCGGGATGTAGTCATCCCCGCAGAGATCTGAGTAGAACTCCTCACATGCATGGGTATGACAAATGCTTATATGTGCGTGTGTGCATGCATGTGTGCGTATTGCAGATGTCGATCGACTCATAACATTCCACGTTCCATCTGAATGATCCAGCACTCCTTCAGGAGGTTGATGCGATCAGTGGCGAATGCACTGGATGCCATGGGGATCAAAAAGCTGAGTGCTGGGTGGAAAGCCATGGAACTTACATGTGGCAAGATTTGTGCAGCTGGATCTTCTAGCTCTAGCTTGCAATATCTTGCAATGGTCGACACATAAACTAGCTGAGCCCTGCAGACGACAGTGAGGGCTGATTTTTCCGTGTGTGGACCCGACAGCACAGGCAAATATGATAGAAAGCCACCCAGGCCTACCACATCTCGGGGCTCCATTATAGAAGAATCTTGCAGCATCCCTTAGCTGAGCTTTTTGGGAAAAATCAGAAAGAGGGAATTCCAATGCCGCCCACTGAGCCCCCAGCTCATTTGCAAGGATCTCTTCATAGTGTCGCGCGTTCCACCACATAGCGAGTGCGTAAGCGATTGAGGATGGGCTTGGAAGTGGGCTTGAATTCATGAGTCACATGTAGTGTTCTTGGCACATCTTGGCACCACCGTTGCAAGTGCCATACCCGGTAGAAGTCCAAACACTATATTTTGTCCGGCTGAAGTAAAGGAATTCCTTTTCGGGCCACCTAAAGACCATTCTTTTGATAGTCTTTGACTCCTAGGGTATCCCTCACTTTTGTGAAATCTTCGTTCGAGCAAAAGAATGCTGGTTGTCCAGCCTGCATTTCAACAATACAGGTCGACTCTCAGGGTATATATATTTGATCCATGGAATATATATTTATATATAGCTTCACCATGCTTCACCTTTCAACTGGAAGAGAATTTGAAACCAAACGGATGAACGTCTTCCCCGGGTTCCGCGCCAAACGGCCAATGATGCGAACACCGGGGACGGGAAGCGACGGTTCTCAGTTGTTCGGTTTTGCTGGTTTCCGAAGAGCCCTGTTTTGCGGATGAATCTGATATGGAACAAGATTTCTGGATGCCAGTCAGTAAGCAGCTCGCATTCATGGATAGATGAGCATGAAAGAGATTCCCTGCCAGTTCGGCATTTGTCCAGCCACATCCCCCCCAACTATAGGCAAAAAGATCCAGTTCTTTTCCTAGAAAGTTCTCGCCAGACCCTCCAAATCCCGAGATATCTCCTCCAGATCGATCGTGTGGGCCCGGGGCCTTGGATAGTTTCACCAAGAAACTGACTGCGAAGCAAAGAAAAGCAAAGAGAGCTGCAGATTTGCTGCGCCAGGGCCAAAGATAATGCTCGGCAGCTCTTTGAGATGGTCTTGAACGTGCAGCAAGAATTTTGCACCGTGAACGGCCGGCAGTATGTCCCTTGGACTCCATGAAGGATGCCTCCGCGGAGGGTTTCAAGGGCCTTTTGTGAGCTTGGCTGGGTACGGCCATGGAAAAGATTGATGTGGCAAGTTGCATTTCATTTGCACCTCCTGTGGTCTCAAGAAACCTGCCAGTGGGAACAACCAAAGGTTGGGAGCAACCTGTGCCCTTAAATGATCCGTCGAACTACTGAATCAGGCACCGTCTTACAGGGTCGAAAGCAGCAGATTCACCAAGGCGCCTGTTTGGGGTCACCAGAGGGTCCACTCCTTATAGTACGACTGGACCCTCCTGGTGCTTGCTACTTATGAACCTCCAGTGGATCTTATGAAAATCAACTTCATGTCGACCCTCTCTCTCTCTCTCTCCGCCCTACAGAATTGACTTGCCCTGATATCTTTTGATCACGTTGGAAGAGGTGGGCCACCTCTGGCATCCATGTGGGTCGTTGGTCACCCGAACCTTCCACTCTCCGAACGTTGGGTACCCCTGGTTCAAGGTCCTTCGGACGCGGTACCGTCCTGTGGACGGTTTCGGACCGGTCGGTGAAGCCGGACGCGGACGCGGATGCCGGGGTGGTGTCAGGGGTGGTGTCAGACTGGCTTTCTGGCAGTCCGGACTGGCAGTCCCAAACAGCTCGTGTTTGGGTATGGCAAAATGCTGCCTATTTTTTTTGGGGGGGGGGAACACATGGGGACACTCTACTGAATCAAAAACAGCTCCAAATGGCCAGTTAAAACGCCGGCGACGACCTAGACACGCCATCCGGGGTGTCTTCTCCAACGACCAAAACGCTACGAAGGACGATGTCTACCACGTTAGCATGGGCTGAGCCATGCTGAGCAGCACCCACCAATCATACCACCAGCCAGTTCGGGTGGTTGATAGACCCCCTGACCAGATATTTGTTCATCCAATAACCACCCAAACTGGGTGGTGCTTGTAATGTGTTGATTTTTCAGGGAGCCAACTGGCTTGAGCTGACAGAGTAGGAGAGTAGCAAGAACTCTAACATTCGAGCAATGACGATGATAATTCCAGTGCAGCAAATGAGCAGCTCGGCATTTCTTCATGCGTTCTTTCTGTTGTCTTTTGATCATGATGCACTCCCTGAAATCATCCACATGTTTGGTCTTCGGTTCATGGTCATCCGTATGCGGGGCCATTCCATCCACGTAACCATCACTATTCCAGTGCGCTTGATACATTTACTTAGTGAACACTCTTGTTTCCTGGTCAGAATATTTTTTGTTGAACACTGACCAGGTGGACATCTTACTATGGTTGACACTCATCCGTTCACGACCATTGGCGAGCTCAAGAGACAGCTCAAACGAATATGCAAGGATGAGGTGATGAGAAAGATGACCTCAGTCGATCTTGTGAAGGACAAAGCGAAGCTGATGAACAATCATGCAACTGTCGTTGAAGCGGGTCTTTCTCCAGACGTCGTTTTGCAAGTTTGCTTTACAGTCACGCACTGAGTTGTTGATCAAACGGTTGGTTATTTTGGTAGTACGGTGCGTCTAATATATATATATATATAATAGGCTCCAGCGGTGATCCCGTGAGTGAGTCAGCTAATGAAGTGAGTGGATGTGGGCCTACTTTGTTGGAAAATTGTGCTTTCGCAATTCTGACACCGGAATCTACACAGGCTTCAGAGGATTTAAACTGTTCTTTCTTCCAAATCACGCAGCCAAGGTCCGCTCAGTAGAGTGTTCAAGCAAACAGGAGCTACGGGACAAGGCCGAGGACTTGGTCATGGTAATTATTCCGGATGATGGCGCGACTAAAGTTCAACAATGCGCCTTTGAGTGCTGCAAACGTGTTGGTGGGGTGACCTTTTCAAACTCCGTGACTGAGATTGGAGTAGATGCCTTTCGACGATGCAGCTCTTTGACCACTTTGACCATTCCTGCCTCTGTGACCGAGATTGGATCATCAGCCTTTGAAGGTTGCAGCTCTTTGACCACTTTGATGATTCCTGCCTCTGTGACCAAGATTGGAGTAAGTGCCTTTCGACAATGCAGCTCTTTGACCAGTTTGACGATTCCGGACTCTATGACAGAGATTGAAGAAAGCTCCTTTTGCGACTGCAGCTCTTTGACCACTTTGACCATTCCTGCCTTTGTGACCAAGATTGGATCATCAGCCTTTGAAGGTTGCAGATCCTTGACCAGTTTGACAATTCCGGACTCTGTGACGGAGATTGGATCAACCGCCTTTCGATACTGCAGCTCTTTGACCACTTTGACCATTCCAGCCTCTGTGACGGAGATTGGAGTATGTGCATTCCAAGGTTGCAGCTCTTTGACCGCTTTGACCATTCCTGCCTCTGTGACCAAGATTGGATCATCAGCCTTTGAAGGTTGCAGATCTTTGA